ATCAGTTCCTGGAGTCTTGTTTTTTGCCAGTGCCTTCAGTGCAGCATGAACTTCCTCCTTATGTACCATTGATTCTTGAGCATGTGCTACCTCTTGAAATGGTTGAGAATTGGTCAATTCTTTTTGGTACAGTGACTATTCCTGTTATCTTCTTTTGATGCTTCCTGAGTCATTCAGTATTTTACCCATTGTGGTTGTTACTGTTAGGTGCCATCAAATTGGTTCTGACTTACAGTGACACTGCATAACAGAAAGAAGCGCTGCGCCATCCTCACAGTGGTTATGCTTGAGTCCATTGTTGATGCTATTGTGCCAAGCCATCTTTTTTTGTGTGTGTGTGGGTCTTCCCTTTTTCAGTGACCCTGTACTTTACCAAGTATGGTCCTTGTCCAGGGACTGTCCCCTACTGATAACATGTCTGAACTATGAGAGATGAAGTCCCATCATCCTGGCCTCTAAGGAACATTTTGGCTGTACTTCTTCCAATATAGATTTGTTTATTCTTCTGGCTGTTCATGGTACTTTTAACATTCTTTTCCAACACCGTAACTCAAATGCATCAGTTCTACTCTGGTCTTCCTTACTTACTGTCCAACTCTCACACACATAGGAGGGAACTGAAAACGCCAGGGCATGGGTCTGGCGCACCTTAGTCATAGAATCCTTTAATATTGTAACCCAAGGCTTGAATTTTTCCGTCAGTTCTTTCAACTTGAGAAATGTTGAGTATGTTCTTCCCTTTGTGTTTTAATACTTTGTCTTCTTGATATTTTGTCTTTGAAATTTTCTGTTCAACTCTTATTTCCTCATTTTTTCCAGTTGCTTTAGCTTCTCTATATTCAAGAGTAAGTTTCATTCAGAGTCTCTTTTGACATTCACCTTGCTATTCTCTTTCTCTTCTGCTTTTTAATGACCTTTTTGCTTTCTTCATGTGTGATGTTCTTGATGTCATCCCACAACTCTTCTGGTTTTTGGTCATTTAATGTCTAATGCATCAAATCTGTTCTGGAGAGATGGTCTCTAAATCCAGGTGGGATATTCTCAGTGTCATATGTGGGGTCTCACAAACTTCTGTTAATTTTTTTCAGCTTCAGCCTGAACTTGATTATAAGCAATTGATAGTATATTGCTTTGGCTGATAATATTAGCTTCTCCATCGTCTGTTCCCTCAGATGTAATTAACTTGATTCCTATGTATTCCCTCTGGTGAGGTATAAATGTATGTTGTGTTGTTAAGTGAGTGCCATCTAGTCGATTCCAACCCATAGCGACCCTGTATAGGGTTTCCAAGGAGTGACTGGTGATTTTGAAGTGCCAACCTTGCGGTTCAAACCGACTTTGCAGTTCAGCACGTAACCCACAACGCCATACCAGGACTCTGTGTATGTTGCAAAAAGGTATTTACAATGAGTAAGTCATTGACCTTGCAAAAAATCTATCATGAAATCTCCAGCATCATTTCTATCACCAAAGCCATATTTTCTAACTACTGATCCTTTCTCATTGTTTTCAACTCTTACATTTCAATCACCAGTAATTGTGAATGCAACTTAATGTTTGATAAATTTCAGACTAAAGAAGTTGGTAGAATTCTTCAGTTTCATCATCACTGGCTATAATGGTTGGTGCGTAAATTTGAATGATAGTGGTATTAACTTTTTTCTTGTAGGTGTATGAATATTATCCTATCATAGACAGAGTTGTACTTTAAGATAGATCTTGAAAAGCTCCCTTGACCATGAATGCAAAGCCATTTCTCTTCAATTTGTCATTCCTGGCATAATAAACCGTCTGATTCAAAATAGCCAATACCGGTCCATTTCAGCTCATGAATGCCTAGGATATTGATCATTATGCATCCCATTTAATTTTTGCCAGCTTCCAATTTTCCTAGATTCATACTTCATACATTCTGCATTCTGATTATTAACATGGCTGTGTCTTCTCATTTTGAGTTGTACCCTGAAACGAAGGTCCCAACCGAAGGTCCCGAAACTTTGCTCCATTCATGTCATTAAGGTCAGCTATACTTTATGGCGACAGCTCTTTTCCAGGTGTATTTTGAATGCTTTCTAACCTGAGGGAGTCATCTTCTGGCACTCTATCAGACCATGTTCTGCTAGGTTTTCAGTGACTAAACAAGTATTCATCTCTCCTTCTTCCTAGTCTGTCCTATTCTGGAAGCTTCGCTGAAGCCTGCCCACCATGGGTAACCCTGCCGATATTTAAAATATCAGTGGCATAGCTTTCAGGCTCAGAACACACAAGCCACCACAGTAAGACTGACTGACAGACAGTGGTGGGGCTTTTTACTGGTACATTACTACTAACTAAACTCCACATTGGCTTGGATTTCACCAGTTTTTCAGTTAATGACCAGGATCCAATGTATGACATTTAGTTGTGTCTCTGCAGTCCACTCGGCTCTGTGAGTTTCTCAGTCTTTCCTTATTTTTACGGCGTTGACAGCGTTAGGAAGTACAGGCTAGTTATCCTGCTCAATGGCTCTCCGTTTGAGTTTGTCTTTGATTTTTCTCATAATTACGCTGAGATTATGGGTTTACGGAAGGAGTACCACATCACATCATATGAGGAGTACATGTTAGCCACGACATTACTGTGACGGTTTAGGTAGTATTTGCCAGGCTTCTTCTGTACAGACAACTGTAAAGTTGGTATTTTCTCTTTCCCTGCTTTATTCTTTGAAAGTCACCAAGTTTAGCCCACCTTCAGGGCTGCAGGATAGATAAGAGTTAGACTCCACCTCCCTGAGAGGGAAGTATCTGCATGTATTTATATGGAATTCTTCTGTAAGAAAGATTTGTCTCTTCTTCCTCTTTTATTTATTTATTTGGAGTCCTGGTATGGCACTGTGGGTAATGCGCCAGACTGCAAAGTTGCTTTGAATTGTAAGGTCAGTGGTTCAAGCTCACCAGGAGCTCCTTGAAAACCCTATACAGGGTCATCATGGGCCAGAACTGACTTGACAGCACTTCACAATAATTTATTTATTAAATCTTTTATTGACTGATTATTTAATCAGATTTTACTTTTATCAATTTTATTTGTTTCCTGATAAGACTTATAATGAAAGAATAATAGCTCCCTAAGATTTTATAAGAATTTCTTTTGGTAATTCTAAGTAATATGTTTATTACTGTAAGTATTTTTTGATTTTTCCACTTTATATTAGATTGAATCATATGGAATTAATAATATGCAACATTATATAATTTAATCTAATAACATATTATTGTGACTTCCTACTTTTTGTCCAGCTGGTTTTTGTGTAATACTGGAGTTGGCTCATTTTGTATTGTGAATTGTGACTTGCCTCCATCTGACCTGACTCAGGGTCTCCCCCAGCCCAGCTCAGGTGTTGCATTATTCTCTAGCCAGGGCATTTGGAGTCGGAGTGAAAAAAGCTATTGCAGGATATGTGGTTAGCATCTGCCATGATTACTGCCCCATCACAGGGGCCAGTCTGTGGAGAAAGTCCTCAGTGGGCTGCCTGGCTCCGTCTGCCCCCCTGATAACTTGTGCTCTTTGGCAGACTGGGCCTCAGGTTCATAACCTTGCAGGATCCCTGGCCACTTGGGTATAAAGGAGGAAGATTAAACCGTCCAGACAGGCTCCTGAGGTGATAGAATGACAGGTACTCATCCTGAGGCTACTTCCCTGAAGCCCTCCTCCAGGCCCCTCCACACTATGCTCAACTCATTCTAAAACCCTCACCAAGCATCCCCTCCCACCTTGCTCTGGGTCTCAGTCAATATCACAAGGGTGGTTGGCAGTCGTTGGCTCTGATACTGAGTACCTGCTAAGTGCCAGTGTTCTCACTGAAAAGCCCTTCCCTTCTCTTCCTTCTGTGAGTCTCGACTCCTGCCCCTCCTGCTCCGGTACTAGAGGTGTTGGGCAGTTTCGGATGGGTTTTGATTGATTAAACAACTAAGGGTCTTGTGTGTGGATGACCTTAGCAAACCCCTGTGATTTTTTGGGCATCACTGTGGGCTGAGGTTCTAGGACGCCCTCGATTAGGTGGCTCAGAATGAGAAAGGCAGACTGAGACAGACAGGAAGATGCTTTGGTGAGCCAGGCCCCTCGGGGAACCTGCCTCAGTGGAGCTCCCAGTCCAGTGAGACCCACTGCCATCACAGATGAAAGTGAAGATGAAAGAGATAAAGAGCTCTTCAGGAAGTGATCATTCCTGAGACTTGAGGAACCAGTAGGCATTGACTAGATGAGAGGGGAGAGGATATTTCAGGTAGAGGACACAGCAGATGAATAAAGCCAAGTGAGGAAGCCTTGGGAAGCCTGTGGAGGATTTTAAATAGAAATAACATGACCCAGGTTTGTTTTTGCTTAGTTCCCTTTGTATGTATAGTGTGGACTGGAAGGGTAATGTTTTGAAAGTAGCACGCCTAAGGAGCTGGTGCTGTTCCATTGTTAAGAAGTCAGCACTGGTTTTGTCCCGAGTGTTTGGCCTTAGGGATGAACAGAAATAGGTGTTCCTGAGAGTTTGCTGCAGAACTGAGAGGACTTGATGGTTTCCTGGATGAGGGGGATGTGTGTGTCAGAGTGAGAAGTGCTAGATAATCCTGTGGCCTAGACACCTGATGGAAGATGGGGGCATGGGTGTCCAGTGGAAGTGGAGTTGAGAGAGAGGTGAGTTTGACATGGACCTGCCTGGGGTGGAGGGAACTCTGGAGGAAGGTGGACCTGTCTACTGTCCAGAGGCCAGGGTATGAAAAGGAGAGGCAGATCATGGTAGAGAAGCAGGGACAATGCAGGCAACTTCTGAGGGGCCAGGGAGACCTTGCAGAACCAAGGATGGCCCCTCAGGTTAGGGTTCCCCAGTGGCTGTTCATCAAGGAAAAAGCTTGAGGATTTCCTTAATGGAGATGCTGGGCAGAGGCATTCCTATCTCCAAGCACAGTCTCTCAAAAGACCCTGGGTTCAGAGGGAGGTACTCCAGATTCTCATCTTCTCTCTACCCTCAGATCCTGCTCATCTCTGACTACTTTTATGCCTTCCTGCGGCGGGAGTACTACCTCACACATGGACTCTACTTGACCACCAAGGACGGCACGGAAGCTATGCTTGTGCTCAAGTAGGCCTGGCTGGGCACAGAGCTGTAAACTTAGGGGGAATGGAAAGGCCTGGAACTGGGCCATGCCCTTCAGCCAGGGTTGCCAGCAGTCTTATTCCCAGGCAGATGGGGTTCAAGCCCAGGGTCACAAATTCCTGGCACCAGAGGGTGGCCATGGCTGGCAGCAAGGCCTATAGAGAGGAGCCAGGAGCATCTCCACTTGGACCCCCACTTTGTGGCTCTTCACGCCAAGGAGCTTCCTCCCAAGCAAGAAGGAGCAGAGCAGGTGGGAAGGATCTGTTGGGTTATGGCTACTTAATAAACGTTTTTTGTTACAAACAAGTCTATCCTGGGGCCACAGTGTACACCTAGGGTGTGTGCTTGGCTGTTAATACTGACACAGTACCAAAAGTTTGGAAGTTCAAATCCACCCAAAAGCTTTGTAGAAGAAAAACTTGGCACTATGTTTCTATAAAGAGTTGTTGTTGTTAAGTGCCGTCGAATCAATTACAACCCATAGCGACTCTGTATAGGGTTTCCGAGGAGCAGCTGGTGAGCATGAACCACCAACCTTGCAGTCTGGCGCATTAACCACAGTGCCACATCAGGACTCTGTAATATGCAGTGATTTTACTTTGTCACATGGGGTCACAGTGAATAAGCACTGACCCAACAGCACCCAACAGCCACAATACTACACATAGGCAGGGGTTTCTAGAATGAACCCTGAGTCCAAAGAACACAGATCTGTGCCTGCAAGCTGAGAGTGGTTCTAACAGACCCACCAGCAACTCCCCCTCACCATTCCCCAAGCAAGCAGCTGGAGGCAAAGGGCCATGCAGGCCTGAGCAATCTTTATTCTGCAGAGGTACAATGACCACAGATCCATACACCATGTCAAGATGAAGGGAGTCAAGGAACAGTCCTTCAGGGACGAGCAGGTCCAGGCAGGGGGCAGCGCCTTGGGTGGGTGAGGGGCAGATGGGCAGACAGGCAGGGGCCTAAAAAAAAGATAAACGGCACAGAGCAGGGGGGCAGGAGGCTGCTCCCCACAGTCCCCCATCCCAGCCAGCACCTGGATGGGATACCCTAAAGTGACTGGCCCAGGATCCACCCAGGGGCAGAGGAGGTACGGTTGGTGTCCCCTGGTTAGCGGGCCACATCCCTGCCCAGCCCACCAGGGGCAGAGACAGTTCAGGAGTCAGGGGCTCCCTGGGCAGAGCCTGACCAGCCTCCCCCACTCCCAGGCCAACCACCCCCTACTGCAGGCTCAGAAGCCGAAGGTTTCCTGGGAAGCGTAGACCATGTAGAGGAAACCATCATCATCCTTCTCCTGCTCATAGATGTCGGCTATGGGTGTGGACACGCTCACCATACTGTGTTGGTTCACCAGCAGGAAGAAAGCCTGCGTGGGGTTCAGCTGCAGGCGGCGCCTGAGGAGAATGGGAGAGCAAGTGGCCAGTGAGCTGTCCGGCCCCTAGGCAAATGTAGCCCCGACCCCCCTCCCCAGAATCACTCCCAACCATCTCACACCCATTCAGACCTTCCAAGAGGCTCTGACCTTGACTTTCTGACCTCCAAGGACAGGTGCCCATCCCCTTTACAAAGGGGACCGCGCTCCCTGCCTGATCCCATTGGAGCCAAGTCGTCCGCTGGCTGCGGCCTACCTACCGGATGATCTTGACCAGCTCGCTCATGTTGACATGGTCCGGGACCAGGAACTTGGTCTTGTCAAAGACAGGCAACAGCTTCTAAACCTTGAAGAGCTCGATGATCACCTGGGAGTGGGGCGAGGGGCACGTGAGCCCCAGGCTAAGAAGCAGGGTTTGGGGGGGGACGCGGGGAGGACGGAGGGGCTCACCGGGATCTTGCTGGGGTGCTGGTCGCGGATCTGCTGCACCTCCTTACAGCGGTCGGCTGCGGAGGGCGGTCGGGCGGGCAGTGAGGACGGGCTGAGGTGTTCCCGCCGCCCTGCCCGCCCTCCGGCTCCCTGTATGATGTTCTTGATGTCATCCCACAACTCTTCTGGTCTTCGGTCTTTAGTGTCCAATGCATCAAATCTGTTCTTCAGATGATCTCTAAATTCAGGTGGGATAAATTCATATTTTGGCTCTCATAGACTTGTTTTCATTTTCTTCAGCTTTAAT